CTGTCACCAGTTCTGGAGGCTATAAACCTGCCTTTACCAATTCCTTTACCTTGTGGGTTTTTCACTGGCCTCTGATAAATCAGTAGAATTTGGGCTGACCCATGGATATAACTTTAAATATTTTCTAGTAGAAAAATGGAACAGAAACAGAAATGTAGATTTTCTTTAAATCAATGTACACGTTCAAAACAGTAATGTAGAATGAGGGTGAGCAAATACAAATAAATAGGAGAACTGGAAAGCTACGGTAAACTGCTTATGCCCTCATTCTAAAATCCAGCTTGAGAATGTTTCTTAATTAATCCATAATTCAGGAGGAACAGAACCTAGGGTGCAGTGGACCAGAGAAACAATAAATGAATAGAATAAGTGAATTCCTGCTACCTCTACTCACGTTTGGTTCTCATCCCTAACTAGTACTGAGAAGCCCTAGCAATTTGGGCAGCTCTCTCCTTCAAATCATCACATTAAAACCATGGGCCACAATTTCACAAGTGACTTATCATGCATTGCAAGAATTGCGTTGTGGTGGGGAATTCAGAAAGACAGAGCACAACGCTGAAGAGAAACAACCAACCAATTATTCAATCATTATTGGATGCCTGCTTTAAAAGAAACAGGAATCCCAAACAATGGGAAAGCAAAGATTCCTATAGAAGATCAGAGTACCAGGTAGGAAATCCTAGGGATCTGATTTGTTGGCAACCTTTGGTGAAGCTAAGCATCTTCTTGTCTTTGCACCTATGTACCTGAGGTGAGTTCTACTTTTAGGCAAAATGGGCCTTTCAGGAGAGCAGCAAAGCTGGGAAAGGCCATTGTTAAGGCGATGGAAGGCAGTGGGCCTCAGCTGATCAGGAGATAGAAGACTGGGTTTCTCCAGGTTGCAACTCCCTTGGGCTGTGCTGTGAGCTAGTGAGAGCCTTTACTTTTTGGTTTTAAAGTGGTTGCAGGAGACTTTGTCCGGGGCATGGAAAGTCAACCTAGGTTTGATGGGGTTAGTCAAAGAGGTGAACTGGGTTTGATCCTAGTCATATCCAAAAGAGGGAGAGGGTATATAGTCTCTGTTTTGCTTGTTAAGCTTATTTTCTCCATCACATGAGTAAAACTAAGAATAAGCAAATTAAGTACACCCAGAGAATGTCCCATAAAACAATGTGTTCCTGTTGCCCAATCAGTAATCAGAATCTGACTCCAAATTCAGATAGACACTTTTTTCCAGTATTGCTGTCTGGCCACATAAAAGCAGAATTGGAAGGATTCTCAGGGGCCACATCACTAATTCTCTTGTATAGTGCCCAATATAACTACTGTACCCTACTGAACATACAGCTTCTGCTTTAAATCTAATAAAAGTTAATGTTTTTCTTCTTCATTTTCTGGAGGTTTAATATAACCAGTTTTTGTTTTTTACAGCAGGTTCCTATGGCATTTGGATTCCTGATTCATCACTTTTGTCATTATCCACCTCTTAAGTGGCTCTGCCATGAGTGGGATACAGATGCAGTTATTTTGCTGTCTGGAGAGAAGATTCTTAGTCTGCATGTACTTTTAGACTGACAAAGTAGGAAACCAAACATTTAAACATGTTTAAAAGTAGAAAAATGTTGCTTTAATGAGCTATTTTTAACTCTTAAATTTGCCTTTCAAATTTCGTTAACAGGAGTAAAAACTATGAGGGAACTGATCCAGTCAAATTGATGAGACTTTCTTTTGTTTTCATTGGGAATATTTTTCCTAATGGAATCAATAAGACTCAAAAGTATTAAACTTTGGCTGATGTTCATAATGGAAAACTAAAATTCAACTGTTCAGTTTAAATTCTGATTCTTTTTTTTTTTTTACTCCTAAGATATAAAATGAATTTTTCAGCATCAGCAACAATGATGCTTAATAACAGCAGGTGCCAGACCTTTAACCTCAACTATCTTCATGATCACATTTCACATTTTTCCGTGTTTATGTTATTGGACTAAAGGAAATCAATAGTTAGCAAATAAATAATAATTGTTTTGAAAGAGTGAAGCTTAAAGCTGGATTTTCCAAAGAAATTGTTTTCTTACTTTTAATACTCATCAGAATTTCGTAGTAGTCTTTCTTCTGCAGAAAAAAAAAAGGTTGTTTCTCTAATTAATTTATAAGGTGTTGTAGAATTAAGGGTAGTCACTTTTATATTATTGTGAAGGCAGGGAGTGCTGTACTTTCTTTTTTTTCAACTAGGCATCTCTCCATAATTGTGTATCTTCCCTGGCTATCCAATTTGAAGAAAGTCCCATGGGAGTATTCCCTTATAATTTTATGGAAATGTGGGAAGCCAGAGAGGTTACAGACATCCAGAGAAATGATTGGAAGTGAAAGAGCAGAGATAAGAAGAGATTGGACAGCCATTTGTCTGTAATGGTATAGGATCTCCTGCTGGAGCAGGGGGTTGGACTAAAAAACCTCCAAGATCCCTTCCAACTCTTCTATTCTATTATTCAGATATCCATGTGCATCCTGGCCTTCTTATACAGATAGTCCTCAACTTCCAACAGTTTGTTTAGTGACCATTCGAAGTTACAATGCCACTGAAAAAAGTGACTTACCCCCATTTGTCACACTTATGACCGTTGCAGCATCTCCACGGTCATGTGATCAAAATTCAGATGCTTGGCAACTGATTCATATTTATGACGGTTGTAGTGTCCCGGGGTCATGTGCTCCCCTTTGGAGATCTTCTGACAAGCAAAGTCAATGGGGAAGACGGATTCACTTAGCAACCGTGTTACTAATTTAACAACAGTAGTGATTCACTTAAGAACTGTGGCAAGAAAAGTCGTAGAACTCACTTAACAACGATCTCGCTCGGCAACAGAAATGTTGGCCTCAATTGTGAGTCGAGGGCTACCTGTAACTAGGAGGAGTGCAAGCCCCACAACTGAAGCCTAACAATAATGCCACCTTTTCACTTCTTCTTTGAGGAAACAAAATCAATAGCTGTTATGTTCACATCCAATGGAGTTAGAACAGATGGGGGTGGGGAAGATATTATGGTTGGACTTATGTTGCTGCCCTCCATTTTCCCACACGCTGTAGAAGCTGGGTCTTTTTGCCACATAGGCTTTCCATCCTTATGTTGAAGCCTCACACCTAACACTCCTTGCTGGGCAGAAGCCACTTCAAGGGAGACTGGAAAGTCTAGCTTACCCTGTCGTCTCCGGAAATGGAAGCCGTTTAATGGAAGGCAGGGGCCAGTTGTGGAGGGAGTTGGGGGGGGGGGAACCGTACAAGCCAACTAAGCTTCAGAGCTGCATACTAACTGGGAGATGAAAGAGCTAGAGGCCTTCTGAAGTATGTGCTGTCTCAATGATTAATGGGGGTGAGGGAAGGGTGAGGCCCAGCCCTTCGTATACTACAAGATGGCAAAGTGATTCTAAGAACAACAGAGCAGTGTTCATGGAGGAGAGCTAGGCTGCCTTCGCCAAGAAAATCTCCTGGTGCGGTTTTTAAAAGTCTCTTTATTTCCAGTATCAAAACACTACATTAAAATAGATGCCAGAGAGCCAAGCGATCATTAAAAATAAACCAACAGTGGTGTGTAACGTGCAGCGAAAGTGTGGCTCGCAGCAGCTGGTCAGTTCTCCTCCTTCTGATGCATTCTTTCAATTCTGCTTCGGATAGTGAGACAATGACCCCGGCTTGCAGCCATTCGCTCAGCCAAGAATCCCAGGACAGCAGGTAGAGTCTACGGCATCACTGTTTCACCAGAGATGTTTGTGTGGGTTTTCTTTTAAGGTATTTAAAATACAGACTTATACTTTTAGATTTTACAAGGTGCTTTAGGAAGGCCTTGTTCTCCATAGAAATGGAATACTCTCTCTCTCTCTCTCTCAAAAAAAAAAAAAGGGTCCTTAAGGTTAAGTTAAGTTGGTTTGGAACAGAATTGGCTGCTTACATCCTAGGCACTTAAGGTCAGCTGGGCTTGGGGAGAAAAGGGAAAAAAAAAAAGGTAGGAAAATATACAACCAGCTATCTCTGCTGCAGAAGCATTAGTCTTGTCTGAAGATGTTTATAGGAGGCAGATCATAACAAAACAGGAGAGTAGGGTTTAAGAGGCTATTCTTGGTGGGTGTGTTGGGGTTTTTCATTTTACCTGGGGGTATTCTCAGTAAAAAAAAAAAAAGAAGAATCTGGACATCGCATAGCCTGCTATCCACCCCTGCAGATTTTCCTTTGCAATGACCAAATTCAAGGGAATCCTCCGGTGAAATTTCATTTCAGCTGAACTCCACTGGTTCTTCATGAATAGAAAGGACATTTCCTAGCATCTTTCCTGCCTCCTGGGACTGTTCCTCAGTGAAAGAGACCAGAAGAAAAGATTAAAAGTTAGAAAAGGGTGGGGGAGAAGATATGTAAGTCGACATTTCCACTGAGGTTTCCAGGTAAACACTTCGAAGCTCGTCAGCCAGTGGTGGGTTGCCCCCAGTTCGGACCGGTTTGCAAAAACCGGTAGTAAAACCGGCGGGAGGCTCCACTCACCGACCTGGATGTCATCAGGAAGTTTCTGCGTATGCGCAGATGTGTTTCTGCGTATGCGCAGATGTGTTTCTGCGTATGCACAGATGCCCATTGCGAACCAGTAGTAAAGGTAAGTAGAACCCACCCCTGTCCTCAGCCCTAAACAACTTGCCAAGGGAAGAGAACTTGTCAGAAGAATATCTTATCAAACGTTTAAGAAAGGGAGAAAAGAGTTAATTCTCCTGCCTGCTTCTACTGCTTCAATTCCTGGGGACCAGTTTTTGCTAAAGGGCCCCCCAGTTGCTTACTCTGCCCTCGGTTACATGCATGTCGTGGAGAGGAATTAGTTAATAAACGTCTGTGTTTGGCCATTGAATGTGTAAAGATCCCTGCCATTAGAGCAAAATGACTGTAGCGACAAAGGGAGGTTCCACAAATGGAATAAAAAAGGAAGGCCCTGAGCTTCTCAAATAGGCTAGGCAAAAAAAACGAGGCTTGGGAGTATCCAATTTTAATTACTTTCTTTAATTTTAGGGAAAGCAACGCCTGGAAAACGAAAGTAACTCAGATGAGACTTTCTTCCCCCACCTGTGGGCAAATGGCTGCTTCTGCTACTGGATGGCTGAGATCCAATCTCACATCTTTCATAAAAGTATATTACAACATGTGTTTCTTGTAAGAAACAGACCAGATTATTATTATTATTATTATTACTATTATTATTATGATCCATTGCACAACCAGCCAGATGTTTAGACTGGATTTGGCATTTTTATCCACCTATTGAGTCCTATCCCCAAGATAGGCAGATGCTGTTATTCGATGGTGTTTTATTATTATTATTATCACTATTATTAAAAATCAAACTGGTCTTTCCTTGAGTAAAACATCCAACAGTGGCTTCTACCTTTCCCCAGCCAATAAATTTTACTTCAATACAGTTAAATAAATAGGAGGTAATGGGTGGGCAGAGAGGGAGGGAGGAATACTGTTGGTTGCACTTAGAGGTATTTGTTTTAATGAGATAATAGGACTGTAGCAATTTCCCCTGCTCTGCTTCCGTCCAGGCAACTCTCACAGATGCATAAGATTTACAGGTCCCTGAGAATCTCCCTGAGGCACAGGATGTGTGGTTAAATCTGTGTAAATGGGATATGAGTTGGATGGCCCAAGCTGGGGTTGGCTTGGGATTTCAGCAGCACAGCTGTACTCCAGGTTTCCAGAGGAGTAATCAGGGTAGCTGAAGAAAGAGTCAACCCCGGGCACATTTCCCATATAATTTTCTCCCATTGCTCTTGGGCTCCCTTGCAGAACTGGAAGTCCATAAGGATGGCTTTCTCCCGGTCCAAAGAAAGGGCCATAGTCCAAAGAGATTGAAGTCACAGGGCTGTTACAGAGAGGACCTGTGTACCCTGCTGAACTGTCAATCTCTTCCAAGGATTTGCTGCAGGAATTCGATGGGGCTATCTCGTAGTCAGCCTCCACGTGCCCATAATAGTCACCCACTTCAAAGCGGTTATTGGGCGATGCCAAGACGGCGCCCTTCATCCTGCTGTCTTTCTTGTACTTCATTCGTCTGTTCTGAAACCAGATCTTGATTTGCCTCTCGGAGAGCCTCAGAAGCTGGGCCATTTCCAATCGGCGGGGCCGGCAGAGGTACCTGTTAAAATGAAATTCCTTTTCCAGTTCCACCAGCTGCGTTTGGGTGTAGGCTGTGCGAATTCTCTTGGACGAGGCGAAACTTGATGGAGAGCTGCTGTCTAAATAAATGGAATGAACATTCAGTTCAGCTTGAACCCTAACCATTCTGCACTCTGAATAAACTCATTGCCTTGCAGAATATTCATCCTACCGAAATCAACACAGAAACGGGGCATGTCATGTAACAGCTACGCAATGTTGCTCACACCCATATATGTGTATTAACTTTACACATAATCGAATGATGAACATGTTCATGTGGTGTGTTAAGCCAAACTAATGACTCGGCATGAAAAATACCAGGACATGCTATTTACTCTTGGATTAAAAAGCTAGGAAACACGTTGTGATCATTATTTCATATACATTTACTGGGCCAGCAAAGTGCTGCCAGCTAAAAGTAATAAATAGTGTAGACATAGTTTTCCCTGTATGGTTTATCAGTACAGGTAGACCTCAACTTACAACCACAGTTGGGATCTGAATTTCCATTGCTAAGCAAGGTAGTCATTAAGTGAGCCGTACCTGATGAACTGATGGCTCAGTGGTTAAACACTGGAAAGGTGACAGCCCAGGTTCGAGACCTGAGCCCTGCACGATAAGCGTGAGCTCCCGTTCCTTGCCTCAGCTCCTGCCCACCTAGCTGTTCAAAACCATGCAGATGTGAGTAGATAAATAGGTACCACTTCAGTGGGAAGATTAAAGTGTTCTCTGTGCTTCAGGATATATTCATGCTGGTCACATGACCACGGAAAGTGTCTTCAGCCAACGCTGGTTCCCACAGCTAAGAAACGGATATGAGCACCGCTCCCCTAGAGATGGATACAACTCAACAGGGGGAAACTTTACATTACCTGATTTTAATCCACAGTCGGGCTTTTTTGCCACAGTCGTTAAGGAAATCACTATACTTTGTTAAGTGAATCATGAAGTTGTTAAGTGAATCCCACTTCCTCCGTTGACTTTGCTCATCGGAAACCGGTTGGGAAGGTTGCAAATGGCAGTCACATGACCCCAGGATGTTGCAACCATTGTAAATAAAGGACAGTTTGCCAAGTGCCTGAATTTTGTTCATGTAAATCACGGGGGGTGGTGCTGCTGCAATGGTCAGAAGTTTAACAACTGGAGTTAAGTAACTTTTTTAGTGCTGTTGTAACTTAGAATGCTAAATTAATGGTTGTAAGTGGAGGACTACTTGTAGATTGTTTGGAAAGTCTCAGCCAGAAATTTCCAATGGACTGCTTTCAGATGACTGGATAATTTGAAAACAAGTCTTGAAAAGGTTGAATTCCAGCCACATCACTCGAGATGGAAGTAGAAACCAGACATCATAAGCAGATAAGTCCTTAACTTATAACTTTGTTTAGTGACCATTTGAAGTTTCAACAGCTGAGTTGCCTGATCGTCAGAGGCTTTTTTTTCTTTTAAAAACATTTTTTCTACAACTTCTTTGGCCGAAGAGGTTGTAGAAAAAATGCTTTTAAAAGCCTCTGACGATCCCAGCTGAGCCCCGTGATCATCGGAGGCTTTCTTTTTACTTTTAAAAGCATTTTTTCGGCCAAAGAGGTTGTAGAAAAAATGCTTTAAAAAAAAAAAGCCTCTGATGATTGTGCGGCTCAACTGGGCATGGGGGGGGGGCAGGGATTTTTGCTACCGGTTCTCTGAACCACCCGCCGCCATTGCTACTGGATGAGACGATCCGGTCCGAACTGGGAGCATTTCACCCCTGGTCCTGAGGTCATATGATCACCTTTTGCAACCTTCTGATGAACAAACTTAATGGGGAAGTCAGAATCACTTAACAATTGCGTTATTAACTTAACAACTGTAGTGGTCCGCTTGATAACTGTGGGCACAAATGTTGCAAAATGGGGCAAAACTCACTTAACAAATGTCTCACTTAATAGAAATCTTGGACTAAATTGTGGTTGTAAATCAAGGGCTATCTATACTTTCCATCTTAACGTTTTGAGCCCAGCAAGGTATCATTAGAATGTACAATATGTCTAGAACAGGGCTGTCAAACTGGTATCGTCATGCCCATGTCATATGACGTATTGGGACTTTTTTCCCCTTCGCTAAACCGGGCATGGGCGTGGCCAGCGTGTGACACATATGGCCTGCAGGCTGCATAGCCAGATCGGAGGGCTCGTGAGCTCAGCTCTGGCGCCCCTCTCAGGGGGAAGGGAAAGGCCCAGTTTTCTCTCTCCCCAGGCTCCAGAGCCTTTCAAGGAGCTTAGGGAGGGCAAAAACGGCCTTCCCCACCCACCCCCCAGAGGCCCTCCAGAGACCGGAAACAGCCTGTTTGCCAACTTCCTGTGGGACCGGAAGTCGGCAAACGGGCCATTTCCGGCCTCCGGAGCGCCTCTGGAGGGGTGGGGAAAGCCTTTTTCACCCTTCCCAAGCTCCTAGAAAGGCTCTGGAGCTGGGGAGAGCAAAAAACAGGCCTTCCGGTCCTACCAGAAGTTGGCAAATGGGCCATTTCTGGCCTCTGGAGGGCCTCTGGGGGTTGGGGAAGGCTGTTTTCCCCCTCCCCAAGCTCCTAGAAAGACTCTGGAGGCTGGGGAGAGCAAAAAACAGACCTACTGGGCCCACCGGGCCATCGCATGCCAGGAGTGGGGGGGGTCATATGCACATGCGCGGGGGCAGGGCACATAGAATTATGGCTGTGGGCATGCGTGCGCGCACCCCCCTCCCCCTCTCCTGGCAGCGATGGCAAAAAGGTTTGCTCTCACTAGCATAGACCCATCATAGGCAACGGCCACTAGTTATTTTGTTTTTCATAAATTTGTCCAGCCCTGACAATTTTTAAAATCATCAGAATTATTGTTCATAAGTTCATATTCATTCAGCTAAACCAAAATGACTGCATATCCCTAATGTCGCACCTGCCGTATAATCTATGATTGGATGGGATTACTATAACTTGTTTTGAGAGAAGGGAAAAGCCAAGGACAAAATTATAAACTGGTGCCAAAGAGCCGGGACCAATCATAGACAATGAGCGTTGGAGAAAAGTGCTTATTAGGATTCATGTGTGTTTCATTAAAATGGTAAGTTTCCCCTAAGAGTCTGAAGCTGAAAACTCTTCAGTACCATAAAGGAACTTTCTGAGTTCTTATGAACATCATCTAAAAAAGAAAAAAAAAATCTGTTTAACCTTTACAGAAAATGGAAATTATGTTCAGTCTATCTATTTATACTTACAGTGTTCAGCCCCGCTGTGTATCTAGATCAGGGGTGTCAAATTCGATTTCATTGAGGGCAGCATCAGGGTTGTGTTTGACCTCGGAGGGGGGGTGTCGGGGGGCGTGGCCAGGGTGAGTGTGGCCATCTCAACATCATGTGTGTCAGGGGGCACCTGTGGTGGCCCGAGTGCCAGTGAAAATGGGCTCCTGAGCTCCATTTTCAGCTGCAATGGCCTCCTGCAACCCTCTGCCACCAAAAATGGAGTTCATGGCGGCCGCTTGCAGCCCTCCCGAGCTCCATTTTCACTGGGCAGAGGCTCCATGGGCCAGTCCTTTGCTGTTTCCAGAGCAGCCCCACGGGCCAGATCTAAGCACCCGACGGGCCGGATCCAGCCCACGGGCCTTGAGTTTGACACCCCTGATCTAGATCATGTTATTTGTTCCTACACTCTTAATGAGTACCTAATCAAAAAGATTTTTCAAAATGTAATACAGACAGCCCTCAAATTACAACTGTAATTGAGCCTGGAATTAGGGTCCTCAGTTATGGCAGTCATTAAGCGGATCATCACTAGAGGGCATCCAATTTTATGACCCTTTTTGTGGCAGTCATTATGTAAACGTGGTGATCATACATCGCAGTCATTAAGCGAATGCCATGGACATTGAGTGAACCCATTGTCCACAATGGGTATGTTTTGCTGGAAACAGAAGTAAATGTTGGTTTCCAGCAAAAATGTAATAAATCACTGTCACATGACTGTGGAAGGCTGCAACCAGCTGTAAGTGTGGGCCATTTCAGAGCATCCAAAATGTGATCATGTGTCTGCAGGAGTGGGGTGGCCATGTTCAAATCCGGGTCATAAGTATCTTTTGGGGGTCTGTTGGAACTTCAAATGGTTGCTAAGCAACCAGTCAAAAGACAAAGACTTCCTGTGCTGACTAAAATATATAAGATCTATAAAAATATATTTCAGTCATATGAGTATTACTTTAGATTTTTCTGTGAAAAACAAAGAAGCAATATGTTATTAGGGCAAGCGGTAAAATAAAAATATGTGTCTTATAAAGCAAAACTCCACTCAGGTGGCAGCAATTCTAGATTCAAGTGAATCTAGAATTTTGCGATTTTAGCTGCAAGTCAATAAATAAAAACATGGAAATACTTCCCAGACACTCATCTAGAAGCACACGTCTTCATTTAGCCGCTAAAGCCAGGAAGCTACACCCAGTATGTGGCTAGATCTGGATGGGGTAGCACCAAGAAACAAGTGTCTTTTGAAAATCATTGGGTGCAAACAGTTGAAAGAAATGCCTAAAGTGCAGCATAGGAACAGTTACTTGGAAAGTTATTGTCTATGCCAACCTTCCCCAACTTGGTCCCCTATTTGACTACAGCTCCCAGAATTCCCATGGAGGAGAAGATGACAGTGAAAAGAAAGTACCTGAAAAAGGATGGTGGGTCTTCTGCTTGGCGCTGTGCCTTGTTTCCTTCATCCAAGGGAAGACCTGTTTTGGTACATGGCCGCTACACGATTTGATACTGCCATTGGTGGTGGTGGCGTCACAAGGACTGGAAGAGGTAACCAATGACAGCTGCCGTAACCTGGAGGTCTCATCATGACTGTTCCCTAGAGGTCTCAGGGATGCACGTCGTCGTCGGGAACCTTTGGAGCCCTCTGAAGACCCTGTGGGTGTTTCTGACTCCTCCAGGGATATCAGTGAGGTTGGGAAGTGCGGCTGGCTAAAGGAGGGCCTCCTAGTGAGAACTCGGCACCAGCTGTCTTCTGAGGCCTTTTGGTCATCTTCCTGCAGAGCCCTGTGCATGTCCCGTCCTTGTCGGATGCAAGGGGTGGATTGAAGGGGTGGGGAAGGAGACTTGGAGACCGTGCAATGCGTGTGAAAGGAATCCAGAGACACTTCCAGTCCTTACTGCTGAGAAAAGACCCTCCTCAACCACGTGCTAAGGGCAAACCCCCCTAAGTAGGTAGGAAGGACGCTCCTCTGCCTTCCTTAGGCAACCGCTGCTAAAAAAGGAACAGGAACCTTAAACAGAGACAGCCCAGTTTGGGGTTTCAGTGTTTCTGAGTGGAAAACAAAGGCGGTCTCCCAGAATGATGATCTGCAAATGTGGTGCTCAATGTGCACTAAAGAGCTGACATCTGTAATCTGCCCGATGATGATGATGATGAGTTTATTTTATTATTTTAGCGATTTGACTGTGTAGGATTTCAACACCAGCAAGCAAAATGCCGGTGCTCTTGGGCTCTGAACATTGACTCGAGGTTATACTCAAAAAGTGACTTTGGGAGGCTGGGGGGTTGGGGCAGTTAGAATAATGCTTGCTTATTTGACATAATAAGTAACAATAATCAATTCCATATCCTCTCCTCTGGGATCTCCTCCCACTGGCTCAGATTTTATTAGTTGCTATTTTTAAAGAAAAAAAAGTGGGGGGAGAAATGCTTTCTTCCTTCCTTCCTTCCTTCCCCAGAATTTCTCTCTCTCTCTCTCTCAATCTCTCTCTCAATCTCTCCCTCTCTCTCTCTTTTAAAAACTTCTCATGGGTTTTTGGAAGTAGTAAAACAAATCTAGCTCATCTGGAGAGCCTTTGGATTAATTAGCTGTGGATACCCATCAGTACCAAGACTAGCATATCAATTTATTAAATATATTGATTAAATGATTAAATATGGTTGTGTGTGTGTGTTTATAAGTGTATTGTGTATATATATATTATAAAGTTTGGCTGTTGATATGTTCCTATTTATTCTGGATTCCTGCCAGGATCAAAAGACCCAGTGATGTTCTTAAATCAATGAAGTTCTCAAATTCTGTGGCAAAGGTTGCACATGCAGTACCTGAATAACAAAATATGGTCCTGATATTTTGTTCCCTTTGAAATATTCATTCCAGTCAGTGGTCAGATTCAAGTAATTTAACAACCGGTTCTCTGCCCTAATGATTTCTTCCAACAACCAGTTTGCCAAGCTGCTCAGAAAGTTAACAACCAGTTCTCCCGAAGTGGTGCGAACTGGCTGAATCCCACCACTGATTCTAGTGCCCTTATCTTTACTGATAACAATGCAGATAATGGCGGCTAAAAGATGCCTCCTGAAGCTAAAGAAACAATATAATATGGAGAACTCACAGACTGTTGCACCAATAATTCCTTTCTATCCAGCAAAAAACAAGCACTTTGTGTGTGTACATGTGTGTTTGTGTGTGTGTGTTTGTGTGTGTGCACATAACAGCAACTTCTAAGTATCTTCCTCATTTAGGGTTGATCACATCTCTAAAGTGTGAAGGAGATGATAGATGCAATGATAGATAGATAGATAGCTCATTTTTCCTAAACCCACCAGCCAGTAATGTGCTGGGTTAGGGTGAGAAGCTCTATCCTGATTGGTGCAGACAAATTGGAAATATTTGTGGAATGGGAAAAAAAAGTCACTGGAACTTCATTAGTGTTCTCCTAAGACTTGTCCTATAAAATAAACCTTCTGGAGCTCAGCAAAACACCATTCTAAGATATGTCCTATGAAATAAAACTTGCAGAGCTCATTAAAAACATTTTTTTTGATTAATCAAGCAGTAGGTTTCATTGTAAGCTATGATTTGGGGGGGGAACAATTTTTTAAAAATCACAGTACAATAAAAAACCTGCATTTAAAGCCTTTGGAAAGTTGGTGGAAATTTCTCTCCGTTATTCTCAAGGATCTTTCTGCAAACTGCTTGTCTTGCAGGGGAGGGGGTATGGGTATGGATAGGGCACAGCGGGGGAAGAGGAAAGGAAAGGAAGAATAAATTGTAATGATCACAGAGGAACCTGGCCATCAATTCCATTATTCCCTAACCAGGAAAAAAAAATCTGCATTTTATTTCAGCAAATGGGTGGTCTCTGGGGGCAAGAAACCTGTAGCTGTTTCAGTCTAGCTGAACTTCAGCTCCATACAGCTACAGACTGCTGCATGATTACTGGGTGGGGGGGCGTGGGGGGGGGCAGGAGTGTTGGGGGGGGGAAGTACATCCTGAAGGAAAATGTACTTTAGCGACATGTTTGCAAACCTGCTTTTTACATTCACCATTTACATTTTTAAGTATATAAATCTAAAATTATAAATTATAATTGGTGGTCCCTGCTCACAGGCAAAGTAATGCACAAAGCAGAGTTTAAGAGGCCCATCTCCTGAGACTTTCCCCCCCCCCTTCCCTTTCTGGGAATGAGAAGTGGACCATGGAGGTGTCAAAAGAAGGACTGTTCAAAAGCAGACGGTCTGTATATGCCCCACAGCCAAGAGATGAGCTCCTGTCTAGCCAACTGCAACATTGAGAGAGCAATGAGGGGAGGGGGGGGGAATCAGTATTTCATAACTACCATTGATGCCTATGTTAGAAGTAATGGCTTGTTTCATGTAAATATTAAAATCATTTGTGGCATAAAAGCCTTGCCGCCAATAGAGCATTTATGTATATAGTAAACTGCCTGGCTTTGAATGGATGAAAATAAGCAGGAGGTATTTTCTATTCCTCCACCGATCACATATCCGGGATAAATACTGATATAAATTATTTAGTGGGAGAGGGATGGTGATATTGGTGGTGTTGATATTTAAAATAAAACAATATTCTCAAAGGGGCAACTGACCCTATTGGCGAAATCATTGGTTTCTACAAATGTTGACAGGCATACAAGGAAACTCATAAAGAACACATTAGGAACTTTAAAAAAAAATATTAGGCTGATGGCTGAGCTACATAAGAAGTCTTGACTGTACTGCTAGAAAGGAATTGGTCAGGATTTTCGGATTTTCTGAGCTGAGTATGCTGCATACTTGGGGTGGAAGCTCTTTCCAAGCAACCATATAACTTGAAACATAATTAATATATTCATTTATTAGCCCTTATAAACAGAAGGGCACTGACACTGACACCCCATAAACTCAGCTTTGATTCACCACTTTCATCAGACAAAGCCCGTTCATTTTTAAAAACTGTTTACTACGATTGTAAGGATTCAAACTTTTTTTAAACTGAGCAGGCAGTATATGTTCACTGAATGGACTGCATTCGGATACTTTTTGTTGTTTTACGTTTTAGTCTTTTCACACCGTTCTGTGCATAAGAAAATCCTGTTTGCGAGGATGTAATATTAAAGATTACATCCTCGCAAACAGGATTTTCTTACGGTGTGAAAAGACTAAAACGTAAAACAACAAAAAGTATCCTAATGCCGTCCCTGCATCATAGGCACTTACTCTTCCTGTGTCATATTCGCCAGCAGCATGTGACCATTTAAACTTTGAAAACTGCACAGGCTCTACTAAGGTGTGGGTGGGTAACTTTGCCTCTAACTACTAACACTGCATTTGAGATACAAAAAAGGCAGCTGATGGATGGGAGCAGATGGCTCATTTATGTTGGGCACAAATCAGCAAGTTTTTATCATCCTGACCAGTGTAAAAAGGCAACAGCAAACTTGAGTTGTATTGATTTCAATAGAACAACTACAACTTTTTTTTTTTTTTGCATTCGACAATGGCTGTAATTTGTATATGTTTGTGTGTGTCTGTGTGCATGTGCATGTGTATTGTGTAATATGTTTATTCACTCACACTGGTAGAATATTGTGGGGGGGGGAGGTGATATTCTATGATTCAAGTAAATAGTCACATTATGTTCACAGATAGTTCTTAAGTCTGTAAATTGAGCAATAGCATTTCGGAAAAGATCAGTTAAGGAAAATCCATGCAATGTAAAATGATGATGATGATGATGATGATGATGATGATGATGATGATGATGATGATGATGATGATGATAGCAACAATAGATGTCTATAGGTTTCACACATTAAGTATAAGATTTTAGTTGTACCACTATTCAATGTAAATTATTACAAGTAATTACAATTCCAATCTTGAGTCCACTTTTCCAGGAGTAAATGCCACTGACACCAAAGGGATTTACTTTAAAGTAGGCATAGATAGGAATCACTGCTAATTTGCCTAATGCAGCCTTTTTAAAAAGCAGAGGGGGGGGAGTGGGAGAGATGAGAGCAGCCTTGCTGGACCCTGCATCTTATTTCCACACATGCACAGGTAGCCAGAAGTTTTGGAAATTTCATGCAGGAGAGACTGTGGGAAAGACTGGCTTTTCTGAAATGAGCCTTGGCTAGAGTCATAAACTGCCCCTGTAGATGGATGTGCTATTTCAAGCCAATAGCTCTACTGTAGGCAAAGCTTATCCTCCATGAATTTTCCTAGCTTTCTAAAGTTTTTTTTTTTTTTCTGGATTATCCTACACACCAGATTGTTAGAAAATACCTTGCTTAATCATGTGGATTAGGTCCATTTACCTACAGCCTTTTGACTCACCTTTGCTTGCCTGAATGAAATTTTCCTATGAAATGATTCGGAAACCCCTTGGAGTCAGAACACAGAAAACTTAAGAGAGAAGGGGGGGGGACAGGAGGGAGAGAGAAGAACAGACAAACGAAGAGAGAAACTTTGGTGACACATCTACAGATCTGCTTAGGGATGGTGATTTATAGCAGATTAAGGGAGGTAGGCCACCGATTTAAAAAGATTGCTTCTTTAAGTTCTCCCAAGGAAACCGTTTCAGCAGAGGGACGCTGGTTTGGTACAAAGGCTTCGCTTCGACAGTTTGGCTGAGTTTTTGCAGGCCACCCCACACCGGCCAGAGATTGAAAACAAAAATGTTTTCAAGAGGATGCTCCCAGGGACAGGACAATTTAAGACAAAAAATTTTTTTCAAGAGGGGGCTCCCAGGTCTCACCACCCCATCACTCAAGCAACTCCCAAACCAGTTTTCGGCCTTATTTTTTTTTTTATTTTTTTTTTTAAACTTCCTCACTTTCCACCCCACCCCTTGGACTTATTCGACCTGGAATTCATCCCACCTCGCTTGCGCGTTTCTTCCTGCATTAACTCCCCCACCTGAGCTAATTGTAACGGGCCAGAATATCCATCGTTTTGCTTTCAACGGAAGATTTGTTTTCTCCCTCCACCTCCCACGGCTTCTTTTTCTTCTGCTTCTTCTTCTTTAGACATTTCGTTCTAGAATTTTGCCAGCGACTTGACAAGCATTTGGGAGGACGATGGATAGCTTTGAATTGCATTAACAGAACCTCTCCGCGGTTCCCTGTTATTTTATATGGATTTATGCATCCCCAGCCGCAATAGGTTTTCTGGAAACCGTCTGCATGTCCGCACACGGGACGGCTGAAACTTGCGGGGAAGACCGACCAATCTTCAAGGCAAAATACTTTCCGTAAACAAGGGCTTTGGTTACGGGGGGGAAAAGAGATGGGGCACCTCTATTTCTCCTTATTTAAAGCCATGCAACCCCGAGCGATCCAGCCTGGCCTTCTTTTCCAAAGCCGAGAAAACTCCGCCGGTGCGACCCGATCCGAAGCCCGCTAAAACAGATCCACTACCTCTGGGGGGTTCGGAGCTTCTGAACCAGACAAGGGTCTGGGGGGAGGGAGGGAGGAGAGGAGGGGGCTGCTTATCCCAAGAGTTCGTTTTGCGGGCGAGGGAACCGACGCAGTTCTTAGGGAGCCCAGTTGAGGATGAAATGATCCGGGAAGTAGTCGGCTCAAACTTATGGAGCGTCTCTTTGGGGGAGGCACATGGCCGGGAAATCGCGGTTGCAATGCCTCCGCCCCCTGGGAATCGGGGGTCCCCTTGCAAACTAAAAATTCTTTGGAGCAGGACAAAGCCTCCCCCCACTCCGGCTTAATTTAGCTGGGCTGGCAAGGCAGACATGGCAGGCACGAGGGCTTTTCTGGACGACTGGCCCGTCCCGAACAAGCAAGGCGATTTGCGACTGGCCTAAAATCCAGGCCCACCAAAATCGAATTGAGGGTCACTCAACCTGTCCGAACATCCTAACAATGGTCAGGCAGTTAAAGGATCTTGCGGGGGGCCCCGGCGGGTTGTATGGATTCGGATGGGATAAGTATGAAGAGCTAACTCCGCCTAAAAACGAATTGGGTCGGCCAAAAGAAGAGGCGGCTGGATAGCGAAGTTGAATCTCTCCCTTGTACCATCGCTAGATGGACAGTAAATCCAGCTTTCCGGGTTTTCTGAAATATAAACTAGACGCCGGAGAAATCCCGTTGACCTCTGAGACCTTTGCACGATGCTCTCCGTCCCAAGTCTCATATCCATCTACAGTAATACGGGTATTTTAAATCAACCTAACGAAATTTGCCACCCATTTCTTTTCTTCTTCTCCCACCTCCCCCCACCCCCCCAATATTTCTAGTTGTTCAATTCCAGCAAACGCCCTAAGGGCTAACTTTTGGCAGGGAGGTCACGTTATGCAAACCTGGGCTTCATGATGTTGCAGCATCCTCTTTTCTTTTCTTTTTTTTAAATCCCCAATCGCTTATATATTTAACAAAGGTCTTGCGGGGAAACCTTGTTTTAATAACACTTAAAGGTGGAAACACCAGACCTGGGGGAGGGGGGGGGAACAAAGGCAACGAATAATGCAGGGTCGCCCTCTGCTCTTCCCTCTCTCTCTCTCTCTCCCTCCCTCCAAGCGAGAAGCGCCCCCATTTCTCTGAGCTTTAACAGGAGGCCAGCTTCAAATGGCTCCCTCCCTCCCATCCTCCTCGCCTCGCAATTCTCCTTCCCCCTCCCCAAGTCGGAGTGGCAACAAAGAAATGGGGAGAAAAAAAGAACGGGGTAGCGGGGGGGGGAGGGAGAGAGGAAAGGCTGACTGGGATCCGACCCAGTCCCCTCTAAGACCCTCACTTCGCTTGCTCTACGGATTCCTGTGTCACTCTCTGTATTGTATGATGATATTGTATTGTATATATTCTAAGGCACCTACCATGCATTATCACTCATGTCTATTGTATATTTGTGCACAACCTTACATGCACCCACCCATCCATCCCCTAAAAGGGATCTGCTATAAAATGTCTTTATGTAATCGGTTGGGTCCCTAAAACTGGATGGCTGCCCCTTTTAAAAACAAATCCGAGGCTTTAAGGTTCAATTTTAAACGATTTTGCACTAGAGGGGGGGAGGGGAGGGGGGAGAGAAGAGAGAGAGAGAGAGGGAGGGAGGGAGGGAGGGAGGCATTTCGAATAGTCACACTTGTCAAGTGAGACCATCTTTTAGCTCTCAGAAGCAGCAAATCCATGTGAACTCTGGGTGAACCAAGATTGAAGCCATAAATCACCGCTACAAAAGCCGGCTGCTGCCTACGAGTTCCAGACCCTTACCTTTAACGCTTTCGCGGGCGAAGACGGAAAAGCAGAGCTACAAAAGTTCACTTATCTTTGCCAAGCCCAAACAAGGAGGAGGGGGAGGGAGGGAGGGAGGAGGGGGAGGGATGCAGCTCAGGGGGAAGGGTGGAGTGCCAGCGCCTTCCTACCAGCGAGCGGGCTCGGTTTCCTGGAGTGGTGGTGCTTAGGAGTGGTGGGCTAGGGAGGGAGGGAGGGAGGGCTGGTGCCGGGGAGGGAGACGCGGGACACGTAAGCCAACGTCATTCAACAAAGACCAGGGACAAGAAAGAGCCGGCCAAGGCACGGGGGGCGACGAGAATGGGAGAAGAGGACCCATTAAGGGAAAAAGAAAGCAGACAGCAGACGTTAATCTTGGGGCGTGGGGGTGGGGGGAATCCCTTGCTACCCTTGCTATCCCTGCCCCTTTAAGTAAAATCAAATCAAATTCGGAACCGCCTGGCAACCAGAAGGGCGACGCAGCTGAAAAAGGACGCCAACCCTTTTGCGCTCTCGCCTTGGAGTAAAACCGGTGACCTCCCAGGGTGTGGAAGGGCCAAGCGGGCACCTGGCCGCCCCTGGGCAGCCGGATTCTCACTCTGATTTTCCCAATCGACACTCCCCCCCCCACACACACACACACGTCTCTCATTGGCAGGCGGTTCTCCTTGGGCTCGTTTGCTTTCTTTCTCCCCCCCCCCACTTTCCCTCTCGCTCTGGGTTTCATCTTGAGGCGCTGCCTCCATCCATCCCTCTTCCCTACGCTCGCTCTTCGAAGCGACCTGCCCGCAGGCGCGCAATGGATGCTCTCCCTTCCCCTCGCTATCTGAAGC